GTATTTGACACAGTTGACAAGACACCATACTCTTGGTTTTCTCTACCTCTCCAAATGTTCCCTTTCATTCTTCTTTGCTGGTTCCTCCTCTACTCCCTAGTCTCTTAATGTTGAAGTGTTCCAGGGCTCTCCTCTGCTCTAACTACACTCCTCTCTTTTTGACCTCATCAGTATATGATGTTAAATTACTTCTATTTCTGAAGCCTGACCTCCCTACCAAAATCCAGTCTTGTCTATTCTAACTCTCCATGCAATTGACTTGGATGTCTACTAGATAACTCTAATTTAATATTGAAATCCAAAATTGAATTTCTGATCGCCTCTCACATTTGCTTTATCCATCAGCTCTCCCATTTCGGCAGATGGCAACTCCATTCTTCCTGATGCTTAGGCCAAAAACCTTGAAGTTATCTTGGATTCCTCAAGTGGCTGGTCTGAGCTACCATCATCTCGTGCCCAGATTACTGCAATTGGTCTCCTTGGTTCTACCATTGCCCCTGCAGCAATCCCTTTCCGTCCCTCCACACCACTCTACTGTCAACATATCAGCAAGTGTATTTTTTTGAAAAAGTGAGTTAGATCATATACTCCTTTACTTAAAACCTTCCTCATCCCCATTGTGTTCCTCTTACTCACTCTACCCCAGTTACACTGGTTTCCTTGCTCTTTCTTGATCCCTTCAGGCACATTCCTAACATAAAGCCATTGCACTCTATACCCGTTGTTTTAAGTACTCCTCCTCCTCCTACAGACTCTCTCACCTCACTCAACTCTTGGATCAGATGTCATCTCAACAAGGCCTAACCTGATCATTCTGTTTATTATTGTAACCTATAACCCTCCTCTCCAACTCCCTCTCCCCTTACCTGGCTTTACTTTTCTCTTGTTCCACAGCACTTGCCACCTTCTAGAATATCACGTAATTTATTTACTGTGTTTGTTTGTCTTCCCTGTCCTCCCACCCTAATATGTAAACTCAATGAGGGCAGGGATCTTTGTTTTGTTCACTCATATTTCTTAAGAGCCTGAAACAGTGGCATTCCATAAATCTTTGTTGAATGAATAATTGAGGCAACACTCAACTTCTTATAGTTCACTGCATAAATCATGTTGTGGTTTTTTGTTTGTTTGTTTGTTTGTTTTTGCCTTCATGTCTTTGTTCAGGTAGCTTTCCCTTAGAGCCAACCCTAGGTTCCTCTAGGAAGAATTTTCTGACATCTCTCTTTATTTCTTTTGTTAGATGTCTCAATTCTGTGCCCTATCTCCACCTTATTACATATTATAGCTATCTCCTCATGTGTCTGTCTCCTTGACTAAAAATGAAGAACTTCATGAGTCAGGGACTTTTGTTCTGGTTCATTATTATTGTTCAGGTCCTAGCTGAGAGCTTGGACCACCTTAAATATTCAAATGGTTTGGTGAAGGAATCAAAATGTCAAAAACTAAATCTTTTTACAAAACTCTGTTCCTCCTCCAGTGTTCCAGAGCTTTCAGGACCTGACATCAAATTACAGACCTTTGGGTCCCTTTTTCCCTGATTATTTACTTCTAACCAAAAGTAATTTCTTCTTCCTTTGACTCCAAAGTGGTTTTCTAAACCTCTCGTATGCATTCTAACTTTTATCATATAGCTATTTCTCACAATCCCAGACACTTAGTGTGCGAAGGATTGTACATGCACCTTAAATCTGAGTCTCCTTTACAACACCCTCATCAAGTGCTCATCTATGCCTATTACCTTTCTTTTTTTTTTTTTTTTTTTTGAGACAGAGTCTCGCTTTGTTGCCCAGGCTAGAGTGAGTGCCATGGTGTCACCCTAGCTCACAGCAACCTCAAACTCCTGGGCTCAAGCAATCCTGCTGCCTCAGCCTCCCAAGTAGCTGGGACTACAGGCATGCGCCACCATGCCCGGCTAATTTTTTCTATATATATTAGTTGGCCAATTAATTTCTTTCTATTTATAGTAGAGACGGGTCTCGCTCTTGCTCAGGCTGGTTTCAAACTCCTGACCTCGAGCGATCCCCTTGCCTCGGCCTCCCAGAGTGCTAGGATTACAGGCGTGAGCCACCACGCCCGGCCTATGCCTGTTACCTTTACTGTCTGGGAAGGTACTGCCTTCCCAAGTGGCCATCTAATTTTGGGACCTTTCCCAATATAAAATTCTTCCTCGTATTAAATGCAAATATTTTCCTGTAAATTTTAACTATTTTATTTCCACCCCTCTCCCACATGTCAACTCTTAAAATTTAAAACAATGTATGTCTTCCTTCCCCTTAAGTTTTCACTTTTTAAATTTCTGTGACAGACTCAACTATGATAGTCTCCCCTTTCTAAGGAGCCAGGTCACTTTGCTCTGAATGATGCTTCACTTTCTCCAAAACTTTGTTCAAAACTAACTGCAATGCTTCTGGGAAGCCGAAAGCCCTAGAGACCGGCAGTTTCCTTCTTGTCCTATCTCTGGACTGTATCCGCCTTGAGCTCGGTCACATCAAATGCCTGACTTATTTTAACAGTAACTACTCACGGCACCCACTGAAACACTAGACGCTTTTTAAAAAAATCTTGTGGGCTCCGTGGTACAACTGCAGCTGCCTCGCCTGCTGACCCGGGTACCCGGTTTGTGGGTCCAAGCGCAGGCCATTTGGGTAGATCTGCTGATTCTGATTTACGAGTGCGTCCCTAAACAGTGTGAAGGGGAGGACAGTCCCTTACCTCTCTCCTTCCCCCAGGGGGGAGAACGAAATGCCTTGCCCTGCGGAGGCGCTGATAAAAGCAAGGTTGCAAGAGCAAACGGGTTCACACTTAACAGCCGCTCCTCACCGCCCTAGAGCACCTCGAATCCCGCCTCCCGCCCCGCAGCCCGGCCCTCACCAGCCGCAGCATCTTCACGTGGCCTTTCACACTGAAGCAGAAGGCGCGATGATGTGCTTTCCGTTGTGCGGCGTCCATCGCGCCGGCATACCCAACAGTCGCGCTTCCCCGTCAACCTTTCTCCTCAGCGCACCGCCCCACCAGTCCTCGCGCCGCGACTACAACCGCCGCCGCGGCCGCGCGCCGCCATTCTCAGCTTCCCGCCCTCGCGTGCGCATGCGTACGGCGTCGCGACCGCGCCCCCGCCCCGCGCGCATGCGCCCAACGGGAGCCGTCCGCGGGTTTCTCTCGTTGGGTTCTCTGCTTTGGCTTGTCATTAGCACAGCTGCGGGGGCAACCCCCAGTTAGCCTGCCCCTACCTGCCTGGCACTATTGACCACAGCTCTCTAGCTCTCCTGAGCAGCTTTCCTGCTGGGAAGCGCTCCCAGGTTTGGGGGAGGGAGCAGGGACGGAGGCGAAGGGGACAGGTCCAGGAATGGCTGTCCTGCTTTCCCAGATCTAGGGCATCTCAAATGCCACACAGAGGATTGCCCTTGGGCACCCCGTCTAGAGTAGCCACCATCACTCCTCAGCATATTATAAGAATATACATTACACAAAAGCAGGGACCCATCTGCTTCTCTCCTTGCAGGGTTCCCAGGGTCTGGCACAAAGGTCTACAGCGTGTCTAGTCGGAACTAATGGCCTGCCTGTCCCTGCTGCCCCCAGAGCATCGCAGTCTATTGTATATACTCTTACTTTTGCTTCCCACTGGTGCTAGTTCTTTTCAGATACTTGAATTTAATTCGTGTTTTTCACAAGTGCTCCCATGAAGCCAGAGCTCTTAAGTTCCACCATCTTGGAGCATTTCTCCTTAGGGATGTGAAGTGTATGTCGCTCCTTTTATGTGGTTTAAATTCTGTCTTGGATAATTTGGCCATCACCCAGTCTGATTCAGATTTCTTTGGATCCTGCCCATCTCAGCCTTAGTTCATTTCATTCTGTTAAATCCGATCAGCAATTAACCTCCAACAGCCTCATTCCAAATCACTCACAAAAATGTTGACTTTTATCCTGAAGTTTATTTCTGGAGAGCACACTTGCTAGGCCTATGGCAGATATGCAGGAAGCAAGGGATAGGGTGGTGGCTTTCAGATAACAGATCTAGAGGCTAAGTGAACTCTCTGGCAAATGACTTCTCCCTGCCTAAGAGGCAACTGCCAGCGACTGAAAGGGGTGGGAAACCCTTCCACCCAAGCACTGGAGCTCTCACATACAGTCCAGCCCCATTACTGGGCCTGGGCCTGTTGAATTATACCTGACTCTCCTACACAAGGGCTGAATTAAAAAAATTATTTTATTTTATTTAGAGACAAAGGTCTTGCTATATTGCCCAGGCTGGCCTGGAACTCCAGGCTTTAAAGCAATCCTCCCACCTCAGCCTCCCTAGTAGCTGAGACTATAGGCTCACTGCCTGGCTCCCAGGCTGAATTTTTGCTACCTGACTATAGATGGACCTAACAAGTATTCCCATGCCAATTTTTCTGTCCAGTTGGAATATTGGTTGTGCCTTCCCGAGGGATCTAGTTAGAGTCCAGACCCTGGAAACGTCAAAGTTCAGAGGAAAGAGCTTGGACTGCCAAGTAAGACAGATAGGCTTGAATTCCAGCTCCACCTTTAATTAACGCTTCTGATCATTCTGAACAAATTGCCTAATTCTCTGAGGACAAGCTTGAAGAATGGGATCGACAATAACTATTGGCAGAGTTGTTGGGAGGAATAAATGATACCAAGAGTGAGTGTGTGCCAGGTGTCTGAAGACTAGGTGCCCAATTAAGTAATCTGCAATCATTAATTAACCAGTTAGTCGCTGGTATTAATTGCCTTCCATCCTCCGAGTCTTGTCAGGTCATGGGTGCATTCTGCCAGAGTCCTAGCAGCGGGAAGACTTTCTGGCTGCAAGCGGCGAACTCTTCACCTCGGATTATTTCCCCTCTCGCTGAGCGGATGAAATGCGACCCGGTCTCTTTAAGGGCCGGGCACCAGCAGGCGCCCCGGCGGGGCGGGCGCGGGGACCGAGACCGTGCGCGGAGGCTGGCCGTGCGGCCGCTCGCGCCGACTGGCTCAGGCAGGCGACCCGGGCCTCGGGATCCGCGCGGCCGGCCATGCTGCTGAGGCCGCTGCGGGGCTGGGCCGCCCGGGCGCTGCGCAGCGTTGGGCCGGGGAGCCCCGGGATCCCCGCCTCGGGCCCGGGGCCGCGGGGGACGCAGCGCCTGGCCTGGCCTCCAGGTAACTCGTGTCTCTCTTCCCCATCGCCGGCGCCGCTATGCGGCCCCCACTCCCCGCCCCTCGGCTCGCGGGCCCGCTGGAGCCCGAAACTCCTCCTCCGAGGCGCGGGGTTTTCTCCCGGAGCTATGGCGGGGGGTGGCGAGGAGGGGCAGGGGCGGTCACTAGGGGGTACCCGGCAGGTGGGGCCCCGGGCCGCTTGTCGCGCGGGGCTGGGGAGAGGCGCTGTAAAGAGCACGGAGGAGCCCCACCCCGTGGGGCGGGGGCTGCTCCGAACATTCCGACCCAGGCCGGGCTCTCCCAGCCCACTTCCTGGTCTGGTTCTGCAGGCCTTGGGGGTGCACTGGAAGGTGCGTGTAACCAGTTTTCAGCGGACCCTGGCGCCACTGGCGGTGGAAGTTGGGTTTAGGCTCCCCTGCGGTCCTCCCTGGGAATGGGGACCCACTCAGGAGTGGGTCACCCTCATCACCAGGTTCTGGCTTGGGCTGTCGAGAAGCACCCCAGAACCACCTGAGGGCTGGATGGGCAGCGATGTCAGCCCCTGGCCCGGGCCCGCAGGAGAACCTGGGCCCAAGGCCCAAACCCATGCCCACCGCCCACTCTTCCCCCGTGCCCTGTGAGTGAAGGCTGCCGCCCTGCGGTTCCACTTGCTGGACACCCGTCTGTGAAGCTCTAATTATAAAATGTGTGGGCAGTGGAAAGTATAACATGCTAACTGACCGGCCCTGAGCGCACTGAGGACCCATGTGCCTATTGGACCCTGGCAGCTGCTGCACAGTGTCGCACATAGGTAGACAGTGGTGACTGTGCCACTGTTCACCCATGGAGGGTCCCCAAATTGGAAAACTTTTAGGCTAGGGAGTAAGCATAAAAACTATTGCTTTTGTGGTCACTTAGCAAATTAGAGCAAAGAAGAGTGAGTTGTTTAACACTCAGTTTAAAAATTGATTTCCTTTCTTTTGTAGATAAAGATAGAGAACAGGAAAAAGAGAAAAAATCAGTGGTAAGTTCCTCTTTTATGTGCACTCTCCAGTGTAGGATAATTTTTATTTATTTACTTTTTTTGAGGAGGAAAGAGAAGGAATATATGCACATAGTAAAAAGTAGAAATACAGGAGGATCTCCAGGGGGAAGGAAGTTTGTTGCCATCTCTGGACCTCCGGCCCTGTCCCCATAGGCCACCTCTCTTACCAGTTTCTTGCATGTCGTTTTTTGCATGTCCTTCCCCAGAATCTACTACCCCGAGGCCAGTATGTATATGTATTCATATCTTTCAGATAGATTTGGACTGTGAAAGCTTGAGAAATGATTGTAAAATGATTTGAAAAGTGTTCATCCTGTGTTGGGGACAGTTGGTTGCCCCTTGGTTGGGCAGCCCAGATGTGAGGGAGGTCTGCTGACCACCACCCCATGCCCTCCAGTGCTGAGATTGGTGGGTGTGTAGGGGTCAAAGAGAATCCATGAGGTCCACACATGTGGGTTCAGTCATGGAGGTGCCGGCTCTGGGGCAGGGGGCTGTGGCTGGTATGAGGTTGAAGGTTAAAGGAGGGTCCAATTGGACAGGTCTGTGGGGATGTTGGGTGCTTTGGCTGGCTGGGGTGAGGGGCTGTATTTTTAGGTCACCATACAAGGCTCAGTTTCTTGAGGGAGCTGGAAGTCAGTAGCTCCTATGGCTGGAAAGGGGATGGCTTGGCTTGGCTGATGGTGTCAGGAATACATTGGTTGGGATCTGCAGAAGGTGGTAGGTGTGGAGAGGTCCTTAAGGGACTCAAGGGGTATGGCAGTGGGTGCCATGGAAGGAGAGGGTGATGCAAAGTTGAGCTGGATGGGAATTAATGCAATATTATATTTTTATTCATTTATTTGTTTATTTTTTAGGAGGGGTCATTGTGTTGCCAAGGCTGGCCTTGAACGTCTGGGCTTAAGCGATCCTCCCTCCTCAGCCTCCTGCGTAGCAGGAACTATAGGCAGGCACTACCACATCTGGCTATTGTCTGGGTGCAATGGCACACGCATCCCAGCTACGTGGGAGGCTGAGGCTGAGGCTGAATGCAGGCTCAGGACTGCTCGTAACCATTCAAGGCCTGTGAGCCCCTGCGTGGGAGGCACTGGACTAGGACCTGGGGACCTGGGACTCAAAGAGCCCCTGCTGTTAGGGAGCCCACAGTTTGTCTGATAGAGGAGACAGCAGTAAATATGGTGGATCTAGAACAGCAGTGAGTCTGGGGGCTGTGAGTAGGGGTGCCAGTGACTGAAGAGAGCCTTGGGAAGCCTTGAGGCCTCCTGGGAGGTGGAGGAGAAGAAAGAGGAACTGCAGGCCTGGGCTGTGGCCAGTCCCTAGAGAGGCGGCTGGGGAGGCTTGGGGACAGGTCCTAACACCCAGAACCACTGACGGTTTTTGCCCTCACTCAGCATGATCTGATTTGCCTCTCTGAAAGAGATCATGGTGGACCGTGGGTGGAGGGCCTTGCTGGGCAAGACTGGAGGGAGAGAGGCCTTAACTAAACTAGGTGTCAGGAGACAGGCACAGAGCCTGCAGCTGAGTAGAAAGCAGGGTCCAGAGATGTTGCTGGTTGACTGGTATTGCTGGGTGGGGAGAGACGTCCAGGGTGTTGAGGGTGTTTGAGTGGATGGTGCAGTCATCACATGGCAATATTTATAATAGCAAAAATTGGGCATCACAATGTACTTTTATAATAAAGTAATTGGACAGAACTTAACATCCAACAGTAGGGATTTCCTTTTTTTAAATTAATTTTTAATTATGAATATGTAATAGTTATATCTTTATGGGGTACACGTGATTATTTTGGTACAGGCATAAAATGTGAATTAATCAAATCAGGGTAATTGGGGTATCTATCACCTCTTGCATTTATCATTTCTTTGTGTTAGGAACATTCCAGTTCTACTCTTTTAGTTATTTTAAAGTATAGCTTAACTTATTGTTGATTATAGTCACTTTTTTGTGCCATCAAATTTTATTTACTCTATCTAACTGTATTTTTATACCCATTAACCACCCCCATTTTTTCTTCCCCTCCCTGCTACCCTTCTCAGCCCCTGGAAACCATCATTCTACTCTCTGTCTACATGAGATCAATTGTTTTTAATATTTAGTTCTCACATATGAGTATGAACATGCAAAATTTGTCTTTCTGTGCTTGGCTTATTTCAGTTCACATAATGTTTTCTAGTTCCATCCATGTTGTTGCAAATGGCAGGATTTCATTCTTTTTGTGGCTATATAATATTCCATTGTGTATATGTACCACAATTTTTTTGTCCATTCATCTGTTAATGGACACTTAGGTTGATTCCAGATCTTGGCTATTGTGAATAGTGCTGCAATAAACATGGTAATGCAGAAATCTTTTTAATATACTAACTTCCCCTCCTTTGGATATAGACCTAGCAGTGGGATTGCTGGGTCATATGGTAGTTCTATTTTTAGTTTTTTGGGGATCCTCCATGCCATTCTCCATAGTGGTTATGCTAATTTACATTCCCACCAACAGTGTACAATGGTTCCCTTTTCTCCACGTCCTCACCAGCATTCATTACTGCCTGTCTTTTTGATAAAAGCCATTTTAACTGGGCTGAAATGATATCTCATTGTAGTTTTCTTCCCTCACTCTCAATGCTGGGCTGCTGTAGTTGGGAGAGGAGTGACATGAGCATTCCCTCTTGGCCACTGCAGCTAAGACTGTGCCAGGTCACACCTGAAGCCAGCCCAGTCTCACCCAAAGTAAGCAGTGACTGTCGCCTGGCTACCTCTGATGTTTATTCAAAGCCCAAGGCCTCTTTAGTCAGCAGGTGGTGAATCCTGCCAGGACTGCGTCCTTCCCTTCAGAGCAGCATGTTTCTGGCCCAGGGTGGGTCCAGAAATACCTTCCAGGAACTAAGGCCTGGACTCAGGGGCCTCAGCAGTCTGCTTGGTACTTTATTTTACTGTGGCTGAGCTGCTACTCAAGTTGCAAAACAAAGTCCTCTGAGCTCTTCCCTTTCCTTCCCCCAAGTGGAAGAAGACTCTCTAAGCTGCACTACTTGTAGCTGGGGGCAGGGTGACACAGGCACTGGCTTGGCCGCAGCTGCTGCTGTCTCACTGGGTCATGTGCACCTCAAGTCCACTGGCTCTGAGCCAGCACAGCTGCAGAACTTGCGCAAGGACTGTAGTCTTTGTGGCCCCACTCCACTGCCTTATGAATTTACTCTAGCCCCAGGCTGCTTTTCGACAGCCAGTGCTGGGGCTGGCTGGAAGTCAGGTTTTGGGGTGGAGGATTTCCCTCACTCCTTCTATGGGCACTGGCAAAACTCTGCTCTGTGCTGTGTTCCCCTGTGCCAGGGTGGCCCTCAGTTTCAATGTAAAGTCCCATAATCACTTCTCTTTCCCTACCCCAGGCACACAGATTCTCTAGTCACTGTGCTTGTGGCATTGTTGGGGAGATAGAGGAGGGGTGGCGTTGGCAATGCAAGATCGTTTTTCCGGCTCTCTTTAGTGCCTCTTTCCTTGACATAATGTTAAATGTAGTATGATCGCTCACCTGACTTTGGTTCTTTCAAAGGTGCTTGTTTGCGTGGATAGAGGTGTTTGTGCAGAGGGACGATCTCTTCGACCATCTTGCTCCACCTCTGCCCCTCCAACAGTAGGGATTTCAGTAAATCATGGTGTATCTCATGTGATGGAATATATAAAGCCATTCATGATCATGATTTTGAAAAATATTTAATGATGGGGAATGAAAAAAGAGCTCAAACCAGCAAGAATAAAAGTATGTGAAATGTGATCTAAATGAAAAATAACTGCCCTTAGGGAAAAAAAACAGGAAAGAAATATTAAAAACTGTTAATCAGAAATTCTCAGTCTGGTTAAGAGAAAGTTGTGGAGTTAATAATGGCTGTGTACGAGAGAGAGTTTGGGTGTGGGATAGGGTGAAAGTGGGGTGTCTTCCCTTCATTCTTTGAATATTAAGTGAAATTGAACTGAGTTCCTATTTTTAAAAAAACAGCTATATCGAGTTACAATTTGTATGCCACAAACTCACCCATTTTAAGTATACAATTCAATGATTTTGAGTAAATTTAGAGTCGTGCAGCATCACTACAATCTAATTTTAGAACATTCCCAGGTGATTCTCATGCATAGCCAAGGCTGAGAGCCGCTCCCTCGAATGCCCTCTTTCCTTGATGAGTTACTTGTACAGGGCTCCTTGGTCTTTGGTGTGCAAGAGCCCCAGATGGCTGTCTGTGGCCACCCCCCACCCGTGCCATGACCCCCCGCCCAGGTGCAGTCAGCTGGAGAGCAGAGTGCCAGGTCCAAGCTGTCTTTTATTCTCTTCTGCTAGCCTCATATTTTTGTTTTTTGTTTTTGCTTCTGTGAAAAATGTTAGGACCTACCACTTCTCAGGTTCTGGCGAGGTTAAATGTGATGATGGTGTGCGCTACTGTTTTTAGGGCCTGGCCTTTGACAAGATGCTTAATAAAGTCCTTGCTTTTTTTTTCTTCGCCCCTTTCCTGATACTTTCCAGGCAGTGACAGAGTGCTTTTTTCCCTGTATAAAGCAGTGAATTCGATTTTGTGTTTCCTGACCTCAAAGCCATTAATTAGGCTCTGATTAAGAAGGCAGGACAATTATGCCTGAAATCTAATAATAGTCTGAGGGGTGAGGTAGGGTAGAGCTAGGCTGGGTGGACACACTGTGCATGGTCCGTCGAGGAGGGTCTGGTCTGGAGGTTGAAGTTTTGCACTGAACCAGGTAAGCTGTTCACCTGAGCCCTTCCGTAGACGTCATTCCCTAATGTTCCCCTGGGTGCCTGGTTTCTGGCTCTAATGTGCATTTGTCTTTTGCCAGATCTGTGTTGAGGGGAATATTGCCAGTGGGAAGACTACATGCCTGGAGTTCTTCTCCAACAATACAGACGTCGAGGTATGGCTTCCACACTGGGTTTGAATTTGAAGGAACCTGAAAAACCTTGATGGACTAATTTACAGAGGCATAGACCAGCCCTATCCAATAGAAATATAATTTGAGCCACAAGTGCAAGCCACATTTGTGATTTAACATTTCTATTATTATAGCCTCGTTAAAAACAAACCAAAAACATTTAACACAGTCTATCCCAAATGTTATCATGTCAACATGTAATCAGTATAAAAATTATAAATGAGCTATTTTGTATTCTGTTTTTTATACTAAGTCTTTGGAATATTTTACCAGCTGAGTATCCCTTATCCAAAATGCTTGGAACCAGGAGTATTTTGATTATCAGATTTTTTTTTTGATTTTGGAATATTTGTATATACATAATGAGATAATTTGGGAAGGGGACCCAAGTCTAAACACAAAAGCCATTTATGTTTCATATACTCCTTATACATATAGCCTAAAAGTAATTTTATGTAGTATTTTAAATAATTTTGTGTATGAAACAAAGTTTGTGTTACGTACTCATGTGTGGAATTTTCCACTTGTAATGTCATGTCAGTGTTCAAATAGTTTTGGATTTTGGAGCATTTAGGATTTAGGATTTTTGGATTAGGGTTGCTCAAATTGTATATATTTTACACTTACAGTGTTATCTCAATTTGGACTTGTCACATTTCAAGGTCTTAATAGCTACGTGTGGCTCATGGTCACCATATTGGACAGTGCAGGTACAGACTGCCTTGGAGTCTGGTTAGGAAAAGAGTCTGTGTGTGAAAGAACAAAAGTCAGGTTATTGAGCAGGGCTGGAATGTTATAGCATGATATCTGAGATATCAGTGTCCTACCAGGGGTATTACTATGCATAGCCAATGAATATAATTTCTAGTTTATTTAAAGCCCAATCACTAAAAGTAACCTCACAGATGTTTAAGAATCATCTCTATACTAAGACCCTGGCCTGTCTTCCTTGTTCTAGATTTTAGTGGTATAATCTTTGCATTTTATGGCTTCTTTTGTAATTATAGATCCTGTAATTTCCATACCATTATAGTCATTTTCTTCCTTCCTTCCTTCCTGTCCTGTTTTTACTTCCACTAAAAGATATATGGCTTGGCCGGGCACGGTGGCTCACGCCTATAATCCTAGCACTCTGGGAGGCCGAGGCGGGAGGATTGCTTGAGGTCAGGAGTTCAAAACCAGCCTGAGCAAGAGCGAGACCCCATCTCTACTATAAATAGAAAGAAATTAATTGGCCAACTGATATATATAGAAAAAATCAGCCGGGCATGGTGGCACAGGCCTGTAGTCCCAGCTACTCCGGAGGCTGAGGCAGTAGGATCGCTTGAGCCCAGGAGATTGAGGTTGCTGTGAGCTAGGCTGATGCCACGGCACTCGCTTTAGCCTGGGCAACAAAGTGAGACTCTGTCTTAAAAAAAAAAAAAAAAAGATATATGGCTTGATAAAAATAATAAACATTACATGGCCCTTGTGTTCATGTGCTAATGTGTAGGAAAGAGTTCATACAACAGGCCTAAGGCTGCTGTCCTTAGAGAGGCCTGCTTGCACGGTTGGCCCTTGACTGGCATCTGGGAACTTAGATCTTGGGAGGGCTGCCACCATTCCTAACCGATAACAGTGACTCACCGTGCCCGAACTGTTTGTGCAACACTGCAGTATATGCCAAACACCTGTTTTCTTCCTGGGGGTCTGGAATTTTCATATGTGTCAAACAGTGGCTGCCCACGTGGCTGAGCACTGATGAAAACCCTGAACTCCCAGGCTCAGGCCAGCTTCCCTGGCGGACAACATTCACATGTGTTGTCACATCTGGTTGCTGGGCGAGTCAAGTGTGTCCTGTGCACCTCCACTGGGAGAAAACCCTCGAAAGCTCGTGCCTGGTTTCCTCCAGACTTTTTGCCCCACGTGCTTTTTTCCCTTTGCTGATTTTGCTTTGTGTCCTTTCGCTGTAATAAATCTTAGCTGTGAGTACAGCTCTTTGCTGTGTCCTGTGTGTCTTAGTCAGTAAACCTGCAGAGGAGTGGGGTCCTGGGGACTCCGACACCTGTCCTGAGTGGTGTGACTCTCACTGGCACTTTAGAAGTGCTTATGTTCTCACTGAAGACATTGGAGCCAATTAACAACAATAGTAATAGTAACCGTGATAATTAACATCTAATGAGGATACTACTTGCCAGATACTCTGTTAAGAGTTTGTCATTTTATCTAACTGATCCTTACAAGAGTGGCCCCTCTGAGGTAGATACTATCATTACCCCAGTTGCAGATGAGGAAACAAGGCTCAGTGAGGTGAAGTGGCCTGCCCAGGGTCACGTGGCCAGTGTGTGCTGGAGCCAGGTCCCAGCCCAGGCTGGCTGGCTCTAGTGGCCACACCCTTGTTTGGCTCTTCTGTGGTTTGAAGGACTGTATTGGCTTTAGTTATTTATTTATATTTGAGACAGAGTCTCACTTTGTTGCCCAGGCTAGAGTGAGTGCCGTGGTGTCAGCCTAGCTCACAGCAACCTCAGACTCCTGGGGCTCAAGTGATCCTTCTGCCTCAGCATCCCGAGTAGCTGGGACTACAGGCATGCGCCACCATGCCCGGCTAATTTTTTCTATATATATTTTAGTTGGCCAATTAATTTCTTTCTATTTATAGTAGAGACGGGGTCTCGCTCTTGCTCAGGCTGGTTTCGAACTCCTGACCTTGAGCAATCCGCCCGCCTCGGCCTCCCAGAGTGCTAGGCGTGAGGCACCATGCCCGGCTTGTATTGGCTTTAGTTAAGACCATTTACCCTTCAGATCTCAGCTTAGTGCTCTCTGGGCTCCCTGGCTAGGGTACCCTCCCTGATGTAAGTTCTTCTGGCCCTTCTGTACCTCTCTTTTATGCCACTTCTTGGAGTTTGAAAATGTGTGTTCATTTCCTTGATTACCTGATTAAGGTCTGCTTCCCATACTAGGCTTAAAGTGCCACTAAGGCAAGAGTTAGGGTGGTTTTGCTTTTGTTGTATCCTCAGTGCCTAGCATGGGTACCTGACACACAGTGGGTGCTCAGTGAATGTTTGTTAGGTGACACTGCTACAGACAGAGCACCTCTGAGCTGGGTCAGAGAGCAAGGCTGCTTATGACCCAGCCTGGGTGGGCCTGAGTGGTGCAGTGTATACTACTTGGGGTCTGGGAGTGCAGTGTGGAAAACCCAGAAGAAGGAGAGGGGGACCACCTGAGCAAGAGCGAGACCCCGTCTCTACAATAAATAGAAATAAATTAATTGGCCAACTAATATATATAGAAAAAATTAGCCGGGCATGGTGGCGCATGCCTGTAGTCCCAGCTACTCGGGAGGCTGAGGCAGCAGGATTGCTTGAGCCCAGGAGTTTGAGGTTGCTGTGAGCTAGGCTGATGCCACGGCACTCATTCTAGCCTAGGCAAGAAAGCGAGACTCTGTCTCAAAAAAAAAAAAAAAGAAGGAGAGAGGGGTTGGGAAGGCCAAGGAATGATTCACAGAGGAGGGGATATTTGAGCTGGATTTTGAAGGATGTATAGGAGTTTTCCATGTAATGAAAGTGGATGTGAAAGGGGGTGGGATAGGAATGTAGGGCAGGAGGAACAGCATGAGCAAAGGCACAGAGATGTAAAGGGTCAGGGGAGGTTGCTCTTCAAGAGTCCCATGCATTGCCTCCCTTTGGTGTCTTGTCACCTGTGGCACCTGCTCACATGTACTCTGAAGGTCGTCAGGTGGATCCGGATGGGCACTCTCACGATTTTGGTCCCTAAACACCATTTAATATTTTCTAGCCTACACGCTGACACCCAGAAAGGCTCTTGCGATCTGGGATTGTCCCAGATCTGAGTGTCTAGACCACAGATGGAGGCTCTAGGGTTGCCCAGCGGAAATCCTGAACTGTGTCTCAGAACACGCAGGATGTTGGAGAAGCTGGCGGTCATCTGAAAGGCACAGACAGGACCAGAGGGAAAGAATGCCTCCAAACCAGTGAGACGGGGCACACAGTAAAGCAACACGGACTCTTCGCAGCCAGTGCACCCAGTGCAGTGTTCAGAGGTAGGAAACGGAGGCAAGTGACCTGCCAAGGTCACGGGCAAGATCCCAGGTGGGTAAGTGGGGCTTCAAGCCCTGCTCTATCTAGCTTCCCTACGGCTTCTCCCACCCCCCTGCCCAGCCCGATGTGGTGGGCAGGAAGGGCTGGGACAGAGCACACACAGGAGGGATGGAGGGGACCAGCCTTGCCCTTGGGGGGCTCCCAGGGCAGTCAGTGAGGTGGGATATGCCTGTGCTTGGATACAAAGATGGAGAGATTGGTTCTCAGGTCATTTCTGGAAGTTACGTGAGGAAGCCTTGTCTGGATGGAGCTGTGGCCTCACAGATGGGGTTGCTGGGCTATTTTGGCCCACCCTGGGCACCCCAATCATGATAGTGTCGTTATCTCTCTCTTTCCTTTCCCACCATCTCTCTCTTTCAACACTTACACACTTTCACAAAGCTCAGAACTGAGGAACAGCCGCTCTCTGGTGTTTTCTTTCCTTGCAGGTATTAAAGGAGCCTGTGCTCAAGTGGAGAAATGTCCGTGGCCATAATCCTCTGGTAAGTTGGTTGTTTCTTGCATGAACCCCAGCGTCCCCTTAAGTGCCTGGCACTGATACCTGAGCCTGAACCCACCCCCAGGTGTCCCCTCTTTCTTGGTTGAGTCAGAGGGGAACAGGGGGGACAAGCAGAAACTGGAGGCATGTTGGTGTTCTGAGGCCAAGGACGTCTTAGGTTGGGTGGGTGTGCACAGAAACCAGGGACCTCCCATCAGCTGTCCCAAACGGCCAGCCTTAGCCACCAGGGTGTCAATCATTTTATGCCCACCCCCAGAAGAAACCCATCAGAACCCAGGTCTTTTCATGCCTAGCCCCTCAGTACCTATCTAAGTAACCAGGTTCCTTGGTGAACCCCTATTTGAGTTTGCACTTGGCAATGTCCAGTAACAGGGTCCATGTCTGGCCTCTGGCTCACCCTGAAGCTACCTGTCTGCTTCCCCAAGGTGGACCTAGCAAGAAGGGGCTATAGTGTGCTCCTGCCCTCTTTTCCTTCCCATTCTGAAGGTTTTGTTCCAGCTGCTTGAAAGAGATAGGAAGAATCTGGGTCCCCCAAGAGAGAGTTTAAGACAGAGGTGTTGGTTCTGGGCTCCCATCCCATGATGCAGGGATGATTAGTCACATTTTTTTCAGGTGAGGAAATTGAAGCTTAAATAAATTGCCCGAGGTCCCACAGCTGTTAAATGACAAATCTCGGGTTTGAACCTTGTACTCAGAAGCCACCCCCTCATTTTTAGCGATACAATTGGCATCTCTCGTGTGGTTCATTAGACACTGAATTCTCCCAGGAGCAGTGACTCTGCCTATTTTGTTCACCACTGTTTGCTAGAACATAGGTGTACTTAGTAGGTGCTCGTTCATTCCTTTATTCATCCAACCAGCATTTATTGCATGTGGCAGATGCTTCTGGATGCTGTGACAATTCAAATTCAAAGCCCCTGTTCTCCTGGGCCTAACATTCCAGTGTGCGGAAGTAGAAGACAATTAAATGTGTAATGTGGTAGGTGGTGATAGGAGCAATGAAGAAAGCGAAAGCAGGTGAAATGATGTTAGTTAAATAAGGCAAAACCTCTCAGCTCTTTGAATAAAGAATCCCACAGAGACATGACAAGAATTTCTTCTCTGTGCATGTGGGAGAGGATGGAATGACGCATATTCGTGTAACAAAGAAACCTAAGAAACATTCGCATTCTCTAGAAGCCAGGGAGGAACCAGGGCTTGATTATTAAGACAACTAGAGTTTTGGATGTTAGGGGTTACAGGTGACATGTCACCGGACAGAGTCACAGTCTCAGAAGTCCCAGGATCCTCGGTACAAATTAGCCTTTCCAATGAGACTTCTACAATAAAAAAATACAATAGAATTAGCTATTTTTACATGAGTTTTCACCCTGGACAGAAGAGCAAGATGGGTGTTTTTGTGAAAAGTCTCTATTCATCACTTCATCTGGATTGGTTTTCTGATGCAGAAAAGTGTGTGTTTCTGCAGCCACCAGGCAAGAAGGAACGTATCCTCCTAGCCTTTCTAAGATTTCCTTTCACCTGCAGTTAGGGGAGTCTGCAAGTTTCAGTGCTGCAGGGCATTGAAGTTTCTTTAGTTTGCACCAAGAGAAAAGTGAAAAGCAAAAAGATGGAAAAGAGCAGAATGAGATTATAGCGAGTGGACTACGGAACGGGAAGTGTTTGCATCTATGGAGACGGAGAGAGATTGGCGGGTGGTGGGCTTCTGTTTTAGACAGGGTGGCTGGGGAACGTGTCTCTGAGAAGGTGCCATTTGAGCAGAGATTTAACATGAAGGAGTGACCGACCACTGCAGATATCTGGAGGAAGGGTGTTCAGGCAGAAGGAACAGCAGATGCAAAGTCCCGAGGTGGGCCCATGCTTGGTATGTTTGGGGAACACCAAGGAAGCTTCCGTGTTTGGAAGCTGACTGGGCCAGAGGGGGGATGGTAGGACATGAGAGAAGAGAGAAGTGATTCCACAGGGCCTTGTGGGCCATGCTAAGCATTTAGATTTCATTCTGAATGCAATGGGAAGCCCCTGGAAGGTTCTGAACAGGGAGTGACAAGAACTGACTTCGACTTACCAGGCTTACTTAGGCTGCTGAATAGGGAACAGACTACAGGGGCCCAAGGATCATTTGTTGAATGACTGAATTGCAAGTTCCCCGGGGACTTTATATGGGCTCCTGTTACCACTGTTACTGGGCTGTCCTAGAATTGTGTGAGTGTCTGTCTTTTGTCCACCCTGTTCTGAAGGCCCTGAGACCCTGCTGGGTTCATCTCTGACCCCAGCCCCACCCTGTGTGGGTTTCTTGAGAGGGCTTTCAGTGCCTGATGGGACCAGGGTCCTGCAGCTGCCACTGTGATGTAAAGCGCCGTGTCCCCCTTCTGCAGGGACTGATGTACAGCGACGCCAGCCGGTGGGGCCTCACGCTGCAGACGTATGTGCAGCTCACCATGCTGGAGCAGCACACTCGTCCTCAGGTACGTTTCAGATGTTCAGTTCACACCTTAAACAAAACTTTCTTGATATTAGGGGTATGTGATTACCAGGAAGGGGAACCTCACAAGGGAGCCCAGCTAGGTGTTCGGTGCAATGCAGGCTTCTCTGTCTGGGGCCAAGCTGTCCTGCCCCAGCAGCAATCTGAGGGCCAGCCTCCAGCGGCCTCCACCCACACCCCCCAGCCTGGTGGCCTCCCCATTGCTATTCGACGCTCACGTCTTTATGACCTACCTACTGCTGGGCCCAACACCATTTAACTCAGTTCTCAAAGTGGGGTCAGCGGACCTGCAGCAGCAGCAGCAGCAGCACCTGTGCACTTGTTAGAAATGCACATTTTCTGACCCCATCCCAGACCTGCTGAATCAGAAATTGTGGGGATGAGGCCCAGCAATCTGCTACAAATCTGTGTCTTTTAAAATGGAAAGACATGAGCAGAACCTTTTTGGTGAATGTGAATTTCTATCTCCCCAAGTGTCTAAGGGACTTGGATAGGAGGGTCTGAAGTGAGCATGTTTTTCCCTTTTGCTAACCCCGCTTTTCCTGAGCAGGCACTCAATTGCAAACCCAAATTGTATCTAATTATATCCGAATATAAGGGGACATAGTATGCTCCTCTCTGTAAGGAAATCTAGAAACAAGGCAGCAGAGATGGAAAGAGCATGGACAGGCCAGGAAAGAGGAGCCGAAGGAGAGAGAGGGGTGAGTGAAGAGCTGGGAGGAGATGGGCAACAGAGTCATCAGGAAAGAGAGGATGGGAGAATGGCAAGGAAGACAGATGGGCAGAGAGACAGGCAGGGCAAGAGAGGAAATGCCTGGCTTATAGCTTTGAGTTTGCCTCTCATTTGTTGGCCCAGGCCCCATGGGAGCTGTGGGCCACAGCCACGTGAGAGCAGAGTTTAGCAATATTTGTGTAATTGGCATCAAGAGCCAGGGCCCCTCCTGCCTCCCAGAGGAACACTGGACAGGAAGGTCATCCCTGGAGGGTGTGAGCATCCTGGCAGAGAAGGGTGACGTCAGGTCCTCCTCCCTCCAGTTTCCAGAGGCAAAGCCCCCAGAATGTCACCTCTACCCCCAGAGCCCTTCTTGGGGCTCCGCCTCAGGCATATGATGCAAATTCATCCTGCTTAGGTCCGTGATAATGACCCACTCTGCCTCAAGCAGACAGCCCTCTCCCCAGTGCTCCAGTGGGCCTCTCCCCTCCCAGCAGGGTGCGGGGCAGCTCTGGGCGGAGGGAGGGACACAGCCTAGCTGATGTCAGGCCTGGCTTCTCCCCAGGTGTCGGCTTCCCCTCCCTTCTCTGTATTCACAGAGACCTGAGGCAGGCGGAGTAGCAGGCATTTTTCAAGGCTTCCTAACCCCCTCCTCTTCTCCTGAGTCAGTGAGTCACTTTTTGTTTTCTTTTAGATGTCACCCGTACGGTTGATGGAGAGGTCGATTCATAGCGCAAGATACATTTTTGTAGAAAACCTGTATAGAAGGTACTGTAGTTTCACAATTGATAATTTAGTCAACCCTTAATCTTTCAAAATGAAACTACTTTATCCGACTGACAGATGTGGACTACCCTACTATGTTGTACCTGTTACTCATTGTCATGGTAACACCGTGTAAACAAACAACCACAAAAATCTCAGTGGCCTCAGTAAGGGTGACAAGGTGGCTGCTCTCTCTTCCCCTTGCTTGTCACCCTCTTCCTGGGACCAGCAAGCTAGATGGTTGAGCCCCTTGGTATTCTTAATGACTACTTTCTGTTGGTTTTCTTTGTAGTATTTATGACAAACATATGAAAAAAACTGTTACTATTTGACCAATTTTGACCTACAGAATTGGCAGTTCCACGTGGTTCAACTTATTGAATATGTCTAATTGTTTTGTATATGTCTAATTGTTTTGCACACACCCCTGCCCTAACTGGACATAAGCTCCTCAGGGCAGGCACCGAGTTTGATCTTGTCACCTAGCTTGGACCAGCACAGACTGGGTACCTGGTCGGTACTTGTTAAATATTGTTGAGTGATAGAACCTATAGCTATTCTTTGCTCTCCAGTCCATCTTGTTCCTCAGGCTCTGACCCCCGCTGTTTTGCACCCTTGCATTTGCGGGGACCCCTAAAAAAGGCTTCTCTAGGGGTCCTGAGATGCCATGGATGCTGTCCTTGAGCTTGTGTTGCCCCAAATCCACTCCAAGTATCAGACCAGTATTGTAGGGTCAGGGCAGGCAGCCACGGCATGTCCTGGTCGTGGCTTTGTCCTCTGACCTCGGGCTTGTCCTGTGGCCTTCCCAGTGTGAGAGCCTCGCCCTCCCCCACTGCCTGGGTTTCCAGCGGGGCAAGAGGTGAGGTTTGTCCAACCTCTCAGTCTCCTGTACTCCCTGTTCTTAGCGCCGCAGCCAGAGGGAGGATAGGCAGAAGAGAGAAGAGAAAAGCCAAAGAAAGGGAGCCCCTGTGATGATTGGGTATTTTTTTTTTTTAACTCTACCTGAAGTAACTTTATGCGATGTTTGTTTACTGCTCTGACAAAACTGTAGCGGACCCTGAGCAGTTGGGTAGGATTTCCTGTGAATCCTGAGTAGCGGGATTGTGTCTGTCTTTTTTTGTTGTTGTTGTTTAGAGGGGGTGTCTCACTATGTTGCCCAGGCTGGAGTGCTATGGTTCTTCACAGGCACTGTCATAGTGCACTGTAGCCTTGAACTCCTGGGCTCAACGATCCTCCCGCCTCAGCCTCCCATGTAGTCTTCTAGCTGCGGTCAGCTTGGCCTGTTCTGTATGGTGGCCAGTGGCTCTTTTTGAAGAGGGGGAACCTGAATGGAATGGCCAGAGGTCGAGTGGGGAGAGCGAGGTGTGGAGTTAGGTGCACGTGGCTTCCATGTGGGCCCTGGTATTTGCTCTCATTGTGAGCGTGACCAAATCTCTATACTTCCCTGAGCCCATTTCCCATCTCTTGTCCCCCTCTTGCACCTCTGAAGAGCCTTTGGGCCAGTAGCCTTGTTTAGGTCTTTTTTTTTTTTTTTTGAGACAGAGTGTTGCTTTGTTGCCCAGGCTAGAGTGAGTGCTGTGGTGTCAGCCTAGCTCACAGCAACCTCAAACTCCTGGGCTCAAGCAATCCTTCGGCCTCAGCCTCCTGAGTAGCTGGGACTACAGGCATGCACCACCATGCCTGATTAATTTTTTCTATATATTTTAGTTGGCCAATTAATTTCTCTCTATTTATAGTAGAGATGGGGGTCTCGCTCTTGCTCAGGCTGGTTTCGAACTCCTGACCTTGAGCGATCCGCCCACCTCGGCCTCCCAGAGTGCTAGGATTACAGGCGTGAGCCACCGTGCCCAGCCTGGACCAGTAGCCTTGTTTAGGTCTTAATGACCCTTTAGTGAGTCCTTGCCCACCTTGGCCTTCATGCAATTTGTTATTTACCTGACCCACACCACCTGTTGGCTGCCCAGCACCAGGTGGATTTTGGGAGCTGTTGGTGCTTGTCCCAGGTCCCAGTTCTTGCTGACATCCGTGGGCTTTGGTACCTCACACCTGTAGTCCTTTGTCACTATACTTCTGGTGGATGGTTCTCTATTTCCCAATATCTGTGGCTGTGGCATCGATCCAGATAACATGGGCCTTGCCCTGGCCTGTTTTGTGGGCAATATGGGAAAAGAATATCGTTTTAGATTTGTTTAGCTCTTTTCCTGCCCTGTTTCCTCCCTGTGGCCTTCCCAGAGGGCATGACATCTGTGGTTAGGACTTCTGTGGGACAAGGAGCCACAGAAGAAATTTGCAAAGTCCTTGTTTCTGTTCTTGGGGTCTAGTTGTCCAAGTTCACACGGCCTCCAAGAGGACACAGACTCCTCGGAAGACCCTGTTGGAGCCTCGAGACCCGTCACGGGTATCACTCGGGGAAGCCCAAGACTGTCAGCCGGCGCGTGGCCTCGAGTACCCGAGAGGCTGCTGGGAACACCAAGGCTCCCTGGAGGGGGGGGCAGGCCATCCCCCCACAGTCTCCAGGGAATTGGGAGAGGGTGATGCTCCCCAAGCCCTGTCACTGGAGCCCTCTGAAGGCAGAGGAAAGTGCTGCCTCAGCCTGGCCTTCCAGCCCCTGTGCCCAAAGCAGCCACCACCTGGATATTTCTCGAAGTCTCCACTTTTATCCTAGAATTCATTTGGATTTTCCATTCTACTCCATAATATGCTGTTCTGTGTATATCTAAAAATAATATGGTTTACATGAGAGCATTGAGAAAAATGGGTGGTCCTGTAGTAAACACTGTGCTTGGCATGTGGCTTGGCGTACCCCTCCCTCACCACATGCCCCAGAGCCCCCAAGTTGGGGGGGGGACAGAGAACCCAGGGTCAGGGGTGTTAAAAAACACCTTTCCAGGGCAGGTGGTTCACTTGTGCACTGGACCAGCTTATGTGTTCCCTGGAAACTGGGGCATTTCTCACACAGTTGAGGGGCGGGGCAGGGCAGGGACCCCCGGATAGGACCTGTGTTATTGTCTGGTGTTGACCCTATTTGGCAGATGAGGAACTGAGAAGGGGTTACAAAGCCAGGGCTCCTTCCTGACTGGGCAGGGAACCAACTGCGGGAGGGGAAGCTGATCTGCACCCTGGTGAGCGGGGCAAGCAATGAGTGAGGATGTGATGAGAGCCATCTTAGATTTCTGGCATTAAGGCCAAACCAAAGGCTTCGGGACCTGTAGGAACCCCCAGAAGCTGAGACTTTAGAGGTGCTGGCCTCGGGTAGGAACTCTGCCCTTTGCACACAGGCCTCGCTGTAGGCCTCTCCCACAACCTCCTGTGCCTCTCAGATTCTGCTTGAGTAAGGCTGGGTGTCTCTAGCGAGCACCCCGGGGAGGCCATATCACTGCCAGCCGAGAACCACACTTTGGGGACCGAGGCCTAGAGAAGCCATGGAGAGCCACCTGCCCTATGCCTTGGCCCCTTTTCCCTGAGGTTCTGCCCCCGGTGGCTTCCTTGGAGCCTCCCTGGACCTTTGGGGGCCGTGAGAACAAGAGCCCCGTCCTAAGCGTCGTCTTCGGGGCCACGGGGGAAAGTTCTGCACGGCACAGGGTTTCCTGTTTCCTGCCCCTGGCCTGACGCTTCTTCATTTTGCATTTTGTTGCTTCAGGTTTGGGTTGTGGGGGTTTTGGTTCCCGCCCGTGGGGTGTCCACCAGGGTACTGGGAACCACGCGCTGGCATGTGGGGACACCAGCTCCCTGCCTGGGAGCTTGTGTTTCCTCACCACGTCCCTGGATGCTCAAGGAAAAAGCTCCCTGACGCGCCATGGTTCGAGGAGCCCTTTCCCATGGCGGAGGGCGTGTTGCTGCGCCCCCTTCAGGGCTGGGGTTGAACTTTTTCTCAGGAGCCCTTGCAGCCTTGCTTTGGGGTCTGCAGGGCCTGGACAAAAGGGAGCATGGCAGTCATGGCCCTGCTGCTGTCTTAAGTTGCAGGCTCAGGTTTCCAGAAAAGTCCGTATACTCGAATTCTGCATCTCTCCCCAAAGCAAAATTGCTCAAAGGGCGTTCTTGCCTTTTGGGCCTTGAACAAGCAAAGAGCTCACCCAGGGAGGGACCCACCTCTTCCGCACCCCCATACCCCAGCGAAGTTGGGGTGGGCAGGATGTAAGTGCATTTATGCCACCAAGGGTTCGAGAGGGTTGTGTTGATGGCTGAAGAGGAAGATTCTGGTTACAGGAACTTCCGAGGGGTGGGCACCAGGTGGCGTGGAAAACTGCAGGTGGTGAGCAAGAATCGTGTAAAGAGGCTATGCAAGCGATTGTGTGGCCCAGGCCCCGTGGGCTGAGCAATCGAACGCCAAGCTTGTGCAAGATTGCCTGGTCGCTCTCTCTAAGAACAGAAGTGAAGGAATTGAGTGGGGCTGGCTGGGGAGGTGGCTTGCTGACTCACCTGCAGCTGGTGTTCGGGGACATTGATTATGACCTGGTGTTTGGAACAACAGGCTGGTCCTCCTACCTCCCTGACTGGCCCTGGAGCTGGGGCCCTCCCTGCCGTGGTGTAGACAAGGATTCATGGCCTGCGTCATGGGCTGTCATCCCTCGGTTGTGGTTTTCCATAAGCTCAGGCCAAAGACACCTGGAGTTGATCCGGGACAGCCACCACAGTGGACAGACCAGAGTGGGCGGGTGCCACGATGGCAAGTACGTGGTTCTGAGGGCCACAGAGAGCCAGGCAGGAATCCCTGTCCACAAAGACTTGGGCTTAACTTCTCCGAGCCTCAGTTTTCCTCATCTGTAAATTGGGACTAAAACTGACCTCACAAGGTCTCGTGAAAACAAAAAGAAGTAATGTATACAAGGTAGCCTGTATTGAGCGTGAGACTTCTGTTCTAATCCATCCAGTGCAAACTGGGGGGCTCTCTGGGCCTCAGGGGGAATGTTGTAGCAAATTGTGCCAAACAAAGCAGTTGGCGGGATTCATGTGGCCGCAAGACCTTGGCTTAGCCACCACTGGGTAAGGGAGGGGACTGTGAAGCCCCCACTGTCCACGGTCAGTGAGTCACGTGGTTGGATTTGCCATAGAGAGGTGCAGCCCTCTGTACTATGCAAATAAAGGCAGTGGCTCGTTGGGGGTGTGAGGAGCCAGGCAGAGTCCCTGGGAGGAAAACAAACATGGTCAAAACAGCACCTGCTGTGCACAACATCTCAGAATCTGGGGGACCAGGCTTCTGTTTCTGGGAGCGAGGTTGTCATTGGCTCTCTTAACAGGTTGGCTTAATTCCGCAGCTGTGGCCTTGTTTCTCTGTGTGTTTCCTACTCTGTGTCTCTTTTGCGTCCTCAATATGATTCCCTCGTGGTGACAAAAGGGTTGTGGCAGTGCCAGGCTTCTCCCTTCCCGGTCGGAGTAAGGGCAGGTGTCTTGCCCATAGCGTTTCCCTAAGCGTGAGGAAGTGTCTTCTCCGTGGGCCCTGAAAACCTCCCTCTCGCCTCGCTGGTCCCGATTGGACCATGGGAACCAGGGGGACATTTCCCTTAGACGATCGGGTCTACCCTAAAGCTTGCGTGGGTGCAACTTTCCCAGAAGCACTCGGGGCTGTGGATGGACCCTGCATGGGCGACTGTTAGGAAGGAGGGAGAGGATAGCTGTCCTCATGCCATCCCAGCTTGTGGGCACAAAGTCATTACTTTGACTTTAGTACCTGAGTTTCATTGGCCAGGATTTCCCTATGTGGCACCGTAGGACTTCCTCCCGTGCATGCCCTTGTCCATCCCCCTCGAAGCTTCCCCCAACTTTCCTGGGAGTCGCCCCGCAGGTGGTCTGTTCTGGTCTGTGCTGAGGTCCACTCTCCGACCCCCCCCCTCCCCGGCCCTCTCCTGCTCTCTGTCAAGCTCTGCTGAGGGCATCGTGGGGGCTTGGGGATGACGGGAGAATGTCCCTCTCCGGTTGGTGCCATGCCCCGCCATTTGGGTCCCAAGGCAGGGCTGCTCGTGCCCTTAGTCTCCCCCCAGAGCACCTCCCGCAGACACTTTCCCAGCCTCTTCCTTCCTTCCATCCTCGTGCCCCAGCCGTGCGGGGCTGCCCAGTGGCGCTGTCCCCTGCCTGGGCCTGTGAGGGTCACCCGCTTGCTGACAGGTTTGTGCCCTCCAGCTGCAGCCGTTCCCTGCGTCTCTTCCCTGTGCCTGTCATCTCAGCACAAAGGCAACACAGGGACACCAGCAAGACGCCAGGTTTCTCCTTTATTCCTGGGCTTGTTCTTCCTTTTCCTTTCCCTGCTTTCCTTTCTTCCTTTTAAAGTTAACATTTAAAATAGGTAGCAGCGCGCCCTACCCCCCATTCCTGATTCGAGAACTAATATGTTGTTAAAACTTGGAAAACACATAAAAGTATAAAGAAAAAAAAAAAAAAAACGAAAGCCTCCCACAGTTCTGCAGCCCAGAGAAAAGCACTGTAGCATTTTGGTATTTTCCTCCCAGTCTTTTCAAGACCTGTAGGTGAATACTTTCGAACATATGGTTGGGGTGATACTGTATATGCAGTTTTATATCCTGCTATTTTCACTGAACATTTGGATTACGAGCATTTTCCATGCCATTACATATTATTTTACCGTATCTTTCAGTTACTGCATGACTTGATGTTGTACAGATGTACAAAGATTTAGTTTTTCATTATTTTAAACAGTGCTACAGTGAACACCCGTGATTATTTTCACAAAATAAATTTCTAGAAGTGAAATTGGTTTGCTTATCCGTTTCCCAACCTGAATGCTGTCTCCATTCTCAGGGGACAGGCTTTAAAGTCCCTTCCTCTGCTTGGAGTTCAAATTCCAAATGAACTTCCCCTACCATTCAGTGCCAGGGCTCCTGCTGATCATGTCATACCATAAACCGTCCCCGGGCAGCGGGAGGTCTGCAGTGCCCAGGGCCCTTGTCATCGCCACCTGTCCAGTATTGTGTGGATTGCACTATACCGTGTGCTCTCGGTGACTCCTTTCCATGAAAGCCATCTCCAGGTCCTTTCTGGGGAATGGCACGGCCCGGAAACTTTCTCTTATTGCTCTCTTCGCAGTGGGAAGATGCCTGAAGTAGACTACGTGGTCCTGTCGGAATGGTTTGACTGGATCGTGCGGAACATCGACGTGTCCGTTGATCTGATAGGTAAGACGGCCCCTCCCCCACCGCCCTCCCTGGGCCCAGCAGGGTGTGCTTGGCCGGGCCCCCAGCTCGCAGGGGCCGACAGCATTTGGGGCTTCTGATTCCTCTTGCAGAGGAACCCTGGCCTTCATTCCTTGAGCTCCCCTCCCCTGGGTCAGCTACCCTCAGACCCAAATCCATTGTGATTTGATGGTTTTTCTAGTCTGTAACGGAAGGGGAGGGACAGAACATGGACATTCACTGAGACCCGCCTGGTGTGAGGCCCTGTGCTAAGCTCTGTCTCCATACGGAATCTCATTTGGGCCCACGACGACCCCTGGGGCTGGTGACATGAAGGGTGAGGGTCAAGGTGCCTGTTTGGCCACACAGCTGGCCAGCGGTCAAGCCGAGAGCTGGCCCGGTCTGTCTCTCCGGCGTGGCACGCAATGGCAGATGGAGGCCTTGCCCTGTGCCCACGCGCCTGCCTTCCTTGCTGCTTGTCCTTGGCTTCCAAGCCTTAAGCAGAGTAACCAGAACCACTTGTTATTTTAACCTCAGTGTATCTCCGGACCTCTCCTGAGACTTGCTACCAGAGGCTGAAGAGGAGATGCAGGGACGAGGAGAAGGCCATCCCACTGGTAAGAGGCCTCTGTGACTTGGTTAAGGCCAGAGCTAGAAACCACCCCCGTCCCAGCCTGGCTTCCTCTCCCGGGCGCCACCCTCTCTGAGATCACTGCTGTTGTCTGCAGAGAGAAGCAGGAACTGAGCGCATGGGAGGGTGAGCTCTGACTTCCTCTGTGGCTCAGAGACCCGAAGTGGATGTCCAGATCTGCCTCACTTCCTATGGGCTCTGACTCGGTTCAGCACCCACCGTGCTCAGAAATGTCCCCTCCCCGCCTTGGCAACAAGGCCCGTGGGTTCCACCTCCTGCAGATTGCTTGGCTTTGTAGCACGCTCTGGAGCTCACTAGCACGGGAGTCCCTGTGGGCAGGACTGAGCCCTCTTGCTCGCTGCTGTACCCCAGTGCTGAGCGCAGGCCTGGCCTGGATGTGGTGCTTGTGCTCAGTCGTGTTTGCCCACTGCAGGGAGACCTGCCCTTCTGGGTGTGGCTCAGGCCACAGCGACTCTGATGGGCACTGTCGTAACAGGCCTAGACTGTTCCCCTTGCCCTGGTCCTTCACTCCCCACATCTCCCTCCAGAGTCCACCCTCCAGGCTGCTGCATGATTGATACTTCCAGTACGGACAGCACTCACGCAGTTTCCCTGTCCAGAGCCCTTCAGTGCCTCCCTGCTGTCCGGGATGCAGTCCCTGCTTTGTAGCATGGCATATAAGATCCCAGGTGACCCAGCCCCAACTGCCTCTCTGGCGTTCTCCCTCCACTCCCTGCCTTCCATGCTGTGGCCATAAGGGACTAGTCGTGGCTACACACGCAGCCACACACATCATGGAGTTACACAAATGTTCCTCTGCACAGTGGTTTCCTTTGCCTTTAAAGTTTAGCATAGATGCCACTTCCTCCAGGAAGCCTTCCCTGACCTTCCCTCCATTGTTTTTATTTATTTATTTATTTATTTATTTATTGAGACAGAGTCTCACTCTTTTGCCCAGAGTAGAGTACTGTGGCATCAGCCTAGTTCACAGCAACCTCAAACTCCTGGGCTCAAGCGATCCTTCTGCCTCAGCCTCCGGAGTAGCTGGGACTACAGGCATGTGACACCAAGCCCGGCTAATTTTTTCTATATATATTTTTAGTTGGCCAATTAATTTCTTTCTATTTGTTTAGTAGAGATGGGGTCTCACTCTTGCTCAGGCTGGTTTCAAACTCCTGACCTTGAGCTATCCACCCGCCTCGGCCTCCCAGAGTGCTGGGATTACTGGCCCATTGTTGACATTATTTATTTATGCCTTTGTTCCCCATCCCTCCCTAATGTGAGCTTTTAAACATTCAGTCTTATTCTCTCTGTGTCCTCATCATGTGTCCTGGGGCCTGGCACCTAGTAGTTGCTCAGTTAACATCGAACTGAATGCCCCATGTGAGAAGCTGCCACTGGAGGTACACAAAGGCTGGCCAGGCATTTAGTGAGGCATCATGGGCCTCTGAACTGAGGACAGGCTGGACTGGGGCCTCTCAAAGGCCTGTCCAACTCCCGAGGCCCTGCCCAGCCTTGTTTTGCCCTGGTGCCAGCAAGGTACATTCTAGCCACGGAGGCCTGGGGCTCGCACTCTGGGCAGCTGCTTTGAAATCCTGGGGACAGGAGTGATTGGCAGATGGGGTGCAATGGCGCGGGGCCAGGCTGGACCTTGCTGTGATGGGGCACAGCAGCTCTGTGCGGTGACCCAGACGTTCCAAAGAAACACCAAGCCTGGCGTCCCTCCAAGCCATCATCCAAGCTGTTGTCTTAACGGTTTTGACAAGGTCCGTGGGACAAACCTGGCTCCTGTTGCCGAGGGAGAGCTTGGTGGCGGATGAAAAGGCAGCCGCGTGGTGTACCCGAGAGGCTCTGGCACGGCGAGTAGAATGCCGAGTGAGGAGGTGTTTAAGGGTGGCCCAGAGCACGCTGGCCACGTGGGGGAGAGCGTGGGCACCCAGTGCCACCCAGTGTGCCGTGGCTTAGGGGGACAGGCTGTACCCCTCTTCCCCGGGCTCCATCCCAACAGGTTTTCTACAGTTGGTGGTCTTCATGGTCTTGAGCAGGGGTCCTCAGACTTTTTAAGCGGGGCCAGTTCACCATCCCTCAGACCGTTGCTGAGTGCGCACTGTGGGCCCGGGATGAGTCGGCTGCTAAGCAGGACAGGCAGCGGCGGCAAAAACACCCGGAGGGCCGGATAAATGTGCTAGGTGGCCCGTGTGTGGCCCGAGGGCTGTAGTTTGAGGACACCTGGTCTTGAGGATCCACAGGTTACAGGTTATCTGAGGGGGTAGGAGCAGCAAGGGGTGAGAGTCACAGCCCTCTTGGTGGTTAGACAGAGGGAAGGTTGAGAGGCTGCCCTGGGCTGGGACACCTGGTCACGGAGTCACCATGGACCGCCACATGGAGGAAGTGGGGCCCAGCTGCTGGAGAAGTGGCAGGAAATGAGAGAAGCCAGGAGGGGACCTGCCTTTGACTTGGCTTTGACTCAGGCCCCAGGGGAAGGCCCGGTGTTCGTGCTCACGAATCCCCAGAGGAGCAGGGCAGGGTGGCTGGGGACAGACACTCTGACTGTTGTGATGTCTGGGTGGGCTGGCAGAGTGTGTGGCAGCACCCACCGTGGCCCGTCTGTGCCAGGTTGGCTGTTGCAAGGTTCCTTTGTCCCAGTCACCGCCGCATGGCCATTGACAACTTTGCTCCACCTGCCCGACACCCTTGGTGGGAGGGGTCTGTCCCCCTGCTGCTCCCAACAGCCTGTTTCCCTGGCAGGAATACCTGGGCGCTATTCACCACCTCCACGAGGAGTGGCTCATCAAAGGAAGCCTGTTCCCTATGGCAGCCCCCGTTCTGGTAAGTCAGTCTCCCTCACAGGGTAAGGGACTTTTCTAGAAGGAGGAGTGACCCGGGGAGTGTCAGCCACCCTGTACACGAGGAGGGCCTACTCCTTCAGGGCTTGAGCACTTGGGAGGAGGGAGGTGGGGAGGCTGATGAGGGGTCTCTCTCTCTCGGTCCCCATTTCTGGCCTGAGTCTCAGAGCGAGTCGGATAGACTCAAGAGAAGTTGATCTGTCCTGGTGCTGTCACACCTGGTGGTCGCAGTAACATGCCACTTGCCCAGCTTCATTAGCAAAGGAGTGTTGGAGATGCCCGAAGCCCCTAGACCTGGGTTTTGGTTTTAACCCCTGGGATGGTGGTCCCTCTGGTGTGACCCTTCTACTGAGTGGGTGACACAGAGCCTCCTTTCACCTTTGCTTGGTGACTCAGGTCATCGGAGAAGCATCTTTGCTGGTCCGGGCTGTGACACAGTGATGCCTTAGGCCGTGCTGAGCTGTGTGGGACTGTTTGCTCAGATAACTAATGTCTTTGAGTTCCTATGTGTGCTTTTTGTAGTAACCCTCCTTTCTCTTGCTGACATGTACCATTTCTGATACTGATGTGTCAGCCCTGTCAGTGTCTCTTCACTTCCCATCCTCTTGTTTGCTAGTTTGCTGTTCCCAGGTTTCTTTAGGCAGGCAAGTGGGTACCCAGGAATGTTCCATATATAACCTAGGATCTAAAGAGGGTCATGCTCAAGCTCTTATGCATGGCCTTAAGGACATCTCTTTGGGCTGCCCAAATACTTCTACTCATGGCTCTTGCAGGCAGTGAGATATTGCCGAAAAGTGAGATATTACCATAGTAGATTTTTTTTTTTGAGACAGGGTCTCACTCTGTCACCCAGACTAGAGTGCAGTGGTGTGATCATAGCTCACTGCAGCCTCAAACTCCTGGACTCAAGTGATCCTCTTGCCTCAGCCTCCTGCATACAGATGTGTACTGTTGCACCCAGCTATTTTTTTTTTTTTTTTGTAGAGGCGCCCAGGTTGGTCTCGAACTCCTGGGCTCCAGTGTCCTCCCACTTCAGCCTCCCAAGTGCTTGGATTATAGGTGTGAGCTACCGCACTCGGCCTATAGTGGATTTTTAAAGAAGTCAAATTTATTTTCCCTCCTTTATAAAAAAAAAAATTAGAGAGTATAAAGTGATGAAGTCAAACACCATTAGTGAGCTCACCATAGGAACCACCGTAGTGGGTTCTTAAGTGAAAATCTCGTTGGGAATGTAGACTCCCTAGAGCGGGGAGCTGTTTGGCTCTAAGCTTGCTTTGGATCTGCCTGCAGACCTCTCTGCCCATCCCTGTCTCGTCCTCTCTTCATCTGTGAAGGGACAGTGATTCGAGGCCCATGCAGCCCTGTGACCTGCTGTGTGTTCAATTTCCAGGTGATTGAGGCCGACCACCACATGGAGAAAATGCTGGAACTCTTTGAACAAAACCGGGACCGAATATTAACTCCAGAGTATCGGAAGCATGGCCCATAGGACGGGAAAGGTCTGTAGGATCATGCCAGAAAAGTGCCTGCAGCTGCCAAGTTAGCTATTAGCAGCAATTTGGAAAAATCCACTCTTAGCAGGGCTTCTTCTCTGGCCAGATTTATTTTCATAATTGTCTTTTCTCCCTTGCCAGCATCTTCATCATGGGTCTCTGGCCCTCAGGGATAAACGACAAATGGGACCAACGGGTTTGTCGTGCCCTTTGGTGTTTGCAGCCTCATGATCCCCCTGGTGCCTCTCCTGGTGGCTTCTCACTGCCGGGTCCCTCTAGTGAAGCCGTTAAGAAAGAGCTCCTGACGGGTCGTTGCGTGCCTGACGTCACACTGGGCTCCGTATATGTGTCGCCTCACCCTTCAGGGCACTCACGAGGGCGAGGTGGCAGTCTTACATCCCAGGGGAGGAATCTGAAGCTCAGCGAGGCTAAGGGACTCCCTGGCTCACATAGCCAGTGTGCAGTTTAGCTGGCATCATTCAGAATTTTGGCCAACTGCAGAACTTTCTCTTGCCCCGTGCTGCCTGGCCCTGAGTGCTGTCCCCCGAAGTCCTGCCTTGTCCTGCTAGAGGCCCTCCCACCCCTGTGGGGAGAGCCGGCAGTGTGCAGAGCCGGTATCATATTCTCGTTATTGAGCAGTTCTCAAGGACAATCAGCATTTCTAGATTTCAACAAAATTGTGCTGTTTGGCTGGAGCCCAGTATTCAGTGGTTTCCCAGCATGAGGCCGCTACAGCATCTACCACTTTGTCATCTGGACTTTGACAGCCTTAGGAGACGCACACATTGGCTCCTGAATGGTGCTCAGTCTCCTTGGGGATGGAGGTCCTGCTGCCAGTCCTGTGTCAGGGGAGTAGCGGTTGGCGCCTGGCTGGCCTGCCCAGCACCAAGCTGGGGCCAGGGGCAGCCAGCCCTGGCCTGTGAGGCTCCCCAATTCCCTCATGTCCTTGTGTGAGGAGCATTGCTCTCGGAATCACTGAAACTTTGTGGCCCAGAGGGAGAGACACAAATGGCCTTAAGTCTTTGTGAAATGTTTTCCCATCTAAGGGGACATCTTGTGCCATAGAGCATGAAACCATCTTTATTGGTCCAGAAAATATCTTCGCTTTGCTCAGCTGTAATAATACTTGGAAGGCACAGCTGTTTCCTGAATCAAGTAGGAAGCAAGAGAAAGGAAGAACATCCCCTTTGGGGATGGTCTGGACAGGAAAGTCGGGGTTTGCAAACAAAGGCTCTTGAAGCTTTGCAGTCTTGATGCTTTGGAGGTGGGCAGGGAGAGCTTCAAGAAGACTAGCTGCGAACCCAGGGAGGGATTAGTGGTGCACGCTAGAGAGACGGGCTGAGGCCTGTCACAGAAGTGAAGTGGTTGGCTGTAAATGAAGGTACGAAGGCCACGCCCCAGGCTCTGTTAGTGTGGGCGCCCGTGCATGCAACTCTCTGACTCTGTGATTTTTCTCTGGCTCTATGGTACCCAATAAACCCTTCACCTAAGCCCTGCTGTTGATTTTGGAGTGCTTTCTATGCCAGTCCTTTTAGCTCCCTTGCAGCGTCCTTTTGCCAGCAGGATAATGTGTTTTTAGTTTTTAAACACCCTGTTTCCTAACGTGGAATGTGTGAGTCCACAGAGAGCGTGCTGTCCTCCCACCCTGGCGCCTTGGAGAGGAGGCTGTGTGCTTCAGCAGTGGCCAGGCTCGTCTCATCGTCTCAGAAACTCCCAGCCCGGGGATCACACCTGAGACGGCTGGAGCCAGCTTGCCCAAGGGCTGCTGTCCCCGCGTGGCAGGCAGGACTGGTGGAGGCAGGGTTCACAGTGCAGTTATAAACACCACTGTGAACTGCCCTGCCCTGCCCCTCCCAGCCATTCCATACATGATATATGTTGGGAATATTTTCCCAACATATATCACGTATGGAATAGATAGGTCAGAAAACAGGCTGATGGCACCTCGGAGGCACAAGAGGGCACAGTCCTCAGACTGTGCATGCAGGTGCATGCGTGAACAGATTAATCAGGGACCATCTTGACTGGCCTTTTAAAGATTTGGATGATTAAAAAAACACCATAAACAAAGTTAAAAAGTCTGTCAATTATGACAAACTGGGAGAAAATATTCCCAACATATATCATGTATGGAATGGCTGGGAGGGGCAGGGCAGGGGCTGGCGTCCCTGAAGAGCTGGAGGGGGCAAGCCCAGGCTGCGACATTCCAGGTGCATTGGCCTCACCCGGTTCTCACTCCAAGGCTGGGGTTCCTTAGGGCATGAAGTCACCACCACACCCCAGAGCCACTCCAGCGCCTCTGATTCTTGCTAATGTTTTTTAAAAAAATGTTGAACAGCACGTATTAATACATTTTCTTTTGATCAACATTTTTAGTGAAGTAATTCCAATTTGTATGTAAGCTTTTTGATTTTACGTGTAAAATATACGATTAAACTATTAAAAAGTATTTCATGTACCTGGTGGTTTTTCAGAAAACAAGATAGAAATCTACTCCTCTTTTACATAAAAGAAGTGTGTAGGTGGGTGGTCCAGGGCTGGGGTGGTGGCTTGGTGGCCTTCGGTGTCCCAGGTTGTTCCTACCTTTCTGATCCAGTTCGACTTCCCGGTTCCTGGCTTTTTCCCTCCAGGGTCCTAACTGTCCAGGGTGGCACTGGAGCCCTCACTCTGGCCGGTGCTGGCATCAACGACTGCTGCTCCCTATTCACACTTTCATTCGGATTCAGACAATGACCCTTTCCAGGGCATGAGTAAGATAAGCTTGGAGGGTCTAACGGGACTTCGCTAGAGGCTTTGGGAGGTGGGGGAAAGGTTAAGAGGGCAGTCGACACCCCCAGCCTGGGCCACGTGCTCTGGCATCACCCTCTGGGTCCCACCTCCCTCTGCCCTCTGTCGCCACGTCACATCACCCTCACCACCCTGCACTGCAACATCCTCGTCTCAGCCCACCTTCCACGCAAGTTCTAGCCCCGTGAGGACCGAGACCACCTTGTCCTCGATCCAATGACATGAGTGACTGAATTCTCGAATGAGTGAGTGTGGACCTTCGGGAATGATGTTATTCAGCTTGCTTTTACCTCTCAATTTCTCTTCCTGCCCCCTTTCACTGTCATCTGAGCCCTTCACCTAGATAACAGGTGTCCCCCCACCCCCACCTAGGGAACACATGAGTCAGAAAAATCTTCCTCTGGCCCCCCGCAGAGTCCCACCATTAGATCTGGGGAAGGGTGGTGATATTTAAAACCCAGAGTAGGTAAGAGATGTTTCTGGGATCCGGTGACTATGGGCCAGCTCTATTTCCCTAAATTCCTGGGCTGGGGTCCGGGAACACGCTTCAGACGTTTACCTGTTTGTGGAATGCAGAACACTCATCTCCTTGGCCTCTCTGCCTTGAACAGTTAGTAAAATAACTGACAAACTTGAAAATGTCAGTCCTCCATTGTTCAGAATATAATAACAGTAACACAGCACCTGGCTCCCGTGGGCTTGGGCAGGATTACTCACCGAAGGCCCCAGGGTCACTGGCACAGCCTTTCTTTTCCTAATCGCCCCAACCCCGAAGCTCCCCTAAGGCTGGAGAGAGTTTTGTATTCCTCTAGTTTACGTAAGGGGGTGAACTCGGCAAAAGCTGTCATTAAACAGAAGCCAAGAGAAAGTCTATGTCGTGGAATCCAGAATGGGTATTGACATTTACTGCTCCCCATAGGAGCTGTCTTCTTGAATTTCTGTATTTCTTGGCTTTTTTGTCTTCGAGAGTAGTGCTTACCAGACTGGGCGCCACTGGGTGTCCTGGGAGATAGTTAATAGATATTCTGAGAAAAGAGGGTTCCTTAGTCTAGGAAGTTTGGGAAACGACCTGCGAACTCTCTCTGAGATGCACAAGGTACAACAGCCCAGTGAAAACTCAAGAAGTCCTGCGATAAGAATGCCTTTTAAACGTTGAAGCCAGGGGCTCTCACACTGACTTGCTAATGGAACTCCTTATCCGGGCGCTACCATTAATACTGGCAGAAGCTCCAGTTATTTTTGGAACCCAAGCTGGGAATCACTGTTTTCAGCTGATGTGCAGCTGCTCATGCCTCCAGCTTCTGTGCCGTTTGGGATTCTCTAGCTCAGTGGTTGTCGGACTTTAGAGCATCCGGATCACAGGGAGGGCTTGTTGAAACCGAGATTGCTATAATGCGATAAACATGGAGATGCAGGTGAAAAAAAAAAAAAGAAAAAGAAAATTTTAATAAAAAAAAGAAAAGACAAAAAAGAAACCAAGATTGCTGGGCCCCATTCTCAGTTTCTAATTCAGCAGGGCAGGGATGGGCCTGGGCATTTGTTTTCTAACAACTTTCCAGCGATGCTGGAGAGGCTGGTCCAGGGACCACCTTTTGAGAACCACCTCTCTAGAGTTGTGCTTTCTGGAACCGGACATCCAGGAGTTCAAAGAGCCTTGGCATGTGATTCAACCTCTAGTGAGTGCTGGTTATCTGTCTCGAGCTCCCAGGGTTGTTGTGAGGAAGACTGACCTGGCATATGGAAAGGAGCCTGGATCAGGCCCGGTATGCAGCAGGTGCCTGATAAATGTTAAATTCAGCTGATGTGCCGTTGTGTGGTTAGTGGGCTTGGTAACTGCAGTGACTGGCACTTTGCATCAGAGTGGTGCAGATGCATGCGTGAACAGATTAATCAGGGACCATCTTGACTGACCTTTTAAAGATTTGGTTGCTAAAAAACACCATAAACAAAGTTAAAAGGTAATTGACAAACTGGGAGAAAATATTCCCTACATATATCATCGACAAAAGGCTAATATCCCTAAATACCCATTAAGAATTCTTAAAAAATGAAGGACAAAGGATCAAAAATCCAATAGAAAAATGAGAAAAAGACACAGACAGTTGCTAAAAACAGATATAAAAATGACCCTTAAATTTATGAAAAATAGTCAAGCTCAAACTCAAGTGGAGAAATGCAAATTAAAAGAATTTTATGATATAATTTCTCACCTACCAGACTTGCCTCCCAAATTTTATGTGTATGTGTGTATCTTAACATATTCTGTCAGTAAGACTGTGGGGAAACAAGACAAGAATTACAGGTAAAGTCATAAATCAATATATGGAAGGCATCCATTGGTTTGGCCCAAAAAGGGGGCTTCCAAGTCATAGGTGGGTTTAGTGATTCTTTAGTTGACAGTTGGCTGAAATTCAAGTTAGGTTTTGTCCAGAAGACTAGGAATCAGAGGAAAGGGATGCTTGAGCTAGGATAAGCGTCTTCTATCTTCTATGTGATGCTACACTGGAATCAGATTGGGAGGTAAACCTCATCATAAAATCCTGTTTACTAAGAGTTTATCATTTGTAGGCATGACTCACCAGGCCCTCTTAGGAATTTCTTTGGGCAAAGAAAAAGATCAGAGTTCAGTCCTTATATATTTGGTTAATGTAAGATGTTGACTTCAAGGGATCTTGGGTGAGGGATATAAAGGAATTTGTTGTACTATTTTGCAACTTTTCTCTAAGTCTAAAATTAGTTAAAATCACTCTTCTTTTTTTTTTTTTTTTTTTGAGACAGAGTCTTGCTTTCTTGCCTGCCTGGGCTAGAGTGCCGTGGTGTCAGCCTAGCTCACAGCAACCTCAAACTCCTGGGCTCAAGTGATCAGCCTCAGCCTGAGGCTGAGCTACTCAGCCTCCGGAGTAGCTGGGACTACAGGCATGCACCACCATGCCCGGCTAATTTTTTCTCTCTCTCTATTTTTTAGTTGGCCAATTAATTTCTTTCTATTTTTTTAGTAGAGACGGGGTCTTGCTCTTGCTCAGGCTGGTTTCAAACTCCTGACCTTGAGCGATCCTCCCGGCTCGGCCTCCCAGAGTGCTAGGATTATAGGCGTGAGCCATCATGCCCGGCCTGTTAAAATCACTCTTGATGGGAAATAAAAGCAGAACACAACACTAAAAACATTACAATTCCCAATTTGTAATATATGTGTGTATAGAAGAAAAGACAAATAAATTGCACCAACGCGGTAACATTGGGTATCTCTGAATGGTGGAGATGATGATAATTTTTGCTTTTGTTTTCATCCTCATCTGTACTTTCTGAGTTTTCTACTCAGATGGTTCCATTTGGTAGATCCTCGGAAACAGTGGTGAAGGAGAGGACAAGATGAAGTTTGTCTCTCAAGGAGCTTATATTCTAGTGGAGATGGTGGAAAATGAATAAATACATTTAAAAAGTCTTTGTGCAGAAAATGAAGCTGATGTGGTAGCGAGATAATTGGTCAGGGAGGGCCTCTCTGAGAAGGTGACATTTAAGGTGAGACGGGAATAACAAGAAAGAGAAAGGAGTAGGGGGAGGTGGGCTTGGGGGAGGGCCAGGCTTAGCACCTTCCAGAACCTTGCAGAAGCCAGTGTGGCTTTGGCTGCAGGGGGCCGTGGGGGAAGGGGCCTGAGAGGAGGTCAGAGGGGAAGTGAAGGGCACAGGTACCTTGCGCACCCTGG